AACATGAGTGCAAAGCTGTAACACCAGTTCAAATTACAAATAGCACGCGCGCTGCCAAAATTTCGTCTGTCCTCACTTTCTGTGATGCTTTTTCATGTTAATCATTATCAAGTAACAACATGATTTCTTGCGCAATTTGATTTAAATAAGCGCTTGTAAATTTTCAGGACTACAGATTGCACTCGCCCGGGCTCGTGTAACTTTGTTGTACTCTGAAAAATTTTACTCCTACTCACATACACCCAATTGCACCCGAAATCATGTTATTACCTGGGCATGTTTTTCTCGAAATTTGTTGCAGCCTGCATGACTGACAAGCAATGTAAAGGGAATGAGCGCTGTGAGGATTTTGAGTGCAAGAAACCTGGTAAGATTACCGTTTTAGCAAATCCAAATTACTTTAGAATTTCTGAAAGTGTTTGTCCGTGTGAGAGGGGGGAAAGGGGATTACTTAAGTCGATTTTAGCTTGCTACAAGCCGCTGGCCTCTCAGAACCCCCTACCCCCATTCTAGCCTATAGTCTTCTTTGGGCAAATTTAATTCTGGCAATTCCAACTCAGTCACTTTCTGTAAATGCATCTACTTTATGGAGCCTTTTTGGAAGGTGGTTCTTAAATGAATTGACAAGTTGTAAACTTACTCGTAAAATCCCGAAGAAAAAACCTAAAATTCAACCCTTTTATAATCAATCCAGTCGTTAAAAAAGTGACCCTATCCATCGACACATCCCCATTAGGCTATTAAAACGAAGTTTCCCCCCCCCCCCCCCTTCATTCTTTGAGGGAAGACCGCTTGGCTACGTAATGTTCTGTTTGTTTTATAGATACTGATGAAATTCCTACATAAATAAAATTTTTTAACATCACTTTCCGAGACTTCCTGAATGTTCTTCAAGCTCGGAAAAGTATCGATGTGAAAATTTGGAGAAAGTCACCAGTAACTGTACCGTCTTCGCACCTCAAAGCCATTTTGTGAGTGAAATTTCAAAAGAACCGGCGCGCGCCTGAGCAAGAAGCTCTCATGTAGTTGGCTAGTCATGCTAGTAACCATAGCGACACCAATATCCTCACACGTGAAAGATAAAAATAGTACCTTCACTGCGCGCGATGAAGATATGATTTTTTAGCAAAAGTAAAAATCCTGGTATTTCATCAGTATCTATATAATAATGCTAAATATGCTATTCAAAATTTGCAATGGTAGTTTATTGTTCTCTGTCAACCGTTAGTATCAGTCGGCTAAATAACTGTTGTTTTAAAACAGATTTACATCCGTGTGATTCGTCCGAGGACTGCGATAGAAATGCTGAATGCCGCGATAAAAAGTGTCACTGTAGAGAAAAGTACGCCGGGAATGGACGTAATTGCTCAGGTATAGCGACAGTGGGGAAGTGTAGGATATCAGAACCGTCTCCTCCCATTCAAACTTGTGGGGCTTTCACCTCTTGTATGACGCTAAGATTCTTGCAAAGATAAAATACATACTACTTTGGGTATGCAGATTTGCTTGTCTAGAAACATTTCCTGGCCTACTTAAGGCTCTAAAGTTAAAAAAGAATTGTTTGTCTTCTGATTTAAATTTTGGACTCCTTCGTTAGAAAACTCATTTACTAGTTCAAACAACGTAGAAAATAAATTTTAAACTGGTTAAATGAACCACAACAGTTGGCTCGAATAAAAATTTCGAGACTTTGTAGAATTGCAAACAAAGTGGTAACAACTTTGCGCGAACAAAAGCTAAAAAAATCCAACTAAAGTTAAAACAAACAGCAAAAGTACGAGGAAAATGTCCACTTCAGTTTTCTAATGTCAAGGTTAGAGTTCTTTGACGTGATTGGCTATTCGTGACTAAAAAAGGGAAGACGAAGGGGAGAGAAAGACAAAAATTGTTATTTGAAATCTAAAAGCAAAACAAATTTTCTACACCCCCCCCCCCCTCCAGCCCCCTTCCTTATCAAAATTTCCTGTGTCCTTCTCTGCAACGAATGATAGTTAATTTCAAAGCTACATTTTCCAAGGTAAGGATAGGTTGTTTCGCGAGAAGATGCGCACCTTGATAAGTGCACAAAATTGAGCCACTTTTCCATGTTATGAAGATGTTAAGCTAAAAAAAAGTCCATATAATATAGCTTAACATTCGTTTTCGTTTTACTGTTGATCAATCTCCTAGCTAGCCATGCAAACGGTCAATAATTCAGTCAGTCAATCAGTCAGTCATTATTTCAGTCATTCAGTCAGTCAGTTGGTTAATCCATCAGTTAGCCAGACAGTCAGTCATGCAGCTGGTCAGTCAGTTACCCGGTCAGTCAGTGGATCAATCAGTCAGCCAGTCAATCAGTCGGTCATTATTTCATTCATTCAGTTAATTAGATGATTAAAAAACTGTTAGCAGTTCAGTCGATTAAGCTGCCAGTTAGGCAGACAGTCAGTTTGTCAGTCGGTCAGATAGCCGGAGTGTGAGTGGGTGAGTCAGTCCGTCCGTGGGTCAGTCAGTCAGTTACCCGGTAGTCAGTCAGTTTGATAACGAAATAAACTGTCAGTCGTTCAGTCGTTTAATCTGTCAGTTAGCCAGAAAGTCAGTTGGTCAGTCAGTCCGATGGCCTCTGAGTCAACCGGTGAGCTAATCAGTCAGTCGGTCAATGAGTTACCAGGTCAACAGGTCAATTAGGTAATTAGATAAACTGTCTGCTGCTCACTCGTTTAATCTGTCACTCAGTCGGTCTGTCAGTCAGTCAACCAATCAATAAATCGATCCGTCATTATTTCATTCATTCAGACAATCAGATAGTTAAATAAACTATCGACCGTTCAACAGGTTAATCTGTCTGTGAACCTCAGTCAATCACTGCAGTTAGTCAGTAGTCATTCAGTCAGACATCAGGGCAGTTGCTCAGTGACTCAGACTGACCGATAGCAGAGCCAACAGTCAGTCAGCAAGCCGACGAAACTAGAATAATCGATAGAGAACTCCTCTTTCAAAAAACGTGCTTACTTTTTATGGGTCTGCACCATTTGATTTGCGATTTGAAAACGTTGGGTCTTCCTTCTTTTTCGTTTCTTTTCAAATGAACTATCACTAATTATGGTCAGAATGCAACTTGAGTCTATTACTTCTTTCATACGATGTAATGTTTTAATTCCATTGTTTTCTATCACAGAGTCCTTACCGTGCCCAGTCGCACATGAATGCGATGCCAACTCCGAATGTATTTTACATCACAGGCATCATTTTAGTCCTTATTGCAGATGCAAATTCAATTTTAAGAAGGCTGATAATGGCGCCTGTATAGGTAAGATGTTACATATTTTTGAACGATAAGTAGCTGTTGTTCAGTATTCAAATTCTTCAATAGCGCTATTTATTTGAGGCCCATTCGCCCTGGAATTGATAAATTTGAAAACATTGTTTTCATTTTGAAACTTCCCCCAGCATTTCCATCCACGCCGTGCCGGATAAACTTCGCCAAATGCAACAATTATTGGTGACAGAAACGCTTTACATTTGCATAATGGGAATAAATCAATCATTTCGTCAAAAATTAGAAACAGTGATCTCGGCATTTTCGAAAAGCTACATTTTCGGTCCGAGTTGGTGTCAGTGGACGGTGCTGGTGTTGCGCGATGTTGATGAGTCGTCAGTGTGCATCTCCAATTTATGAATCACTGTAACAAACCCAACGTTGAATGTCTTTAGTCTTCTTTTTTTCTGTTTACATAGAAGAGAGGCAGATTACCACTAGTATAGTGTTGTAGATTTTAAGATTGATCATCAAGGATGTACTTTTTTTTTATCTATGGATCATTATTGTCATTTTTTTTCCCAAGAAATTACTGAGTAAACATTTGAAAAATGTGTGCTTTAGTGGAGAAGTTCGCAAAATAGTTGTTGACAATCAATTTTAATAATATGATGGACCAAAGTTAAATTACTTCGGGACTACCTCCTCCCTTGCATGAATTTTTATGTTCTAGTTAGTCAGACATCTCTTCTTCTCGTCTCAGTGCATATTTTTTAGCGCGGGGTTTCAAATATATTTTCCGAGGTGCATGAGCAGAACACATTGCAATCAAACAAACATAGAAGACTAATTTTTAGGGGCAACATAACGTGTATTTATCGTATCTCCATTGTATAAATGCAGATATAGACGAATGCAAGGATCCAAACGCTTGCCCAGCTAAGCAAAAATGTATAAACACGCCTGGTGCCTATGAATGTCATTGTGAAGAAGGATACGAGAAGGGAGATGGTGACGAGTGCGTGAGTAAGTACCACCGAAACTTCCAATTCGAGATTTTTCGTAAAGGTTTGAATAATTTAAATCCCTGATGCTGACCAGACAGTTTACTGACCCAAAGGTCTGCTGCTGCATACAGAGTAGTTTCTCAAAGTATTTTCGATCTCCACGCGTTTGTAAAATCGGAACGAGAATTCTCTGTTACCAGTTTGGTTTATTCAGGAACCTTCCGCACACGCTTTGCTGGAATAGGGCAACGAAGTTCCCATGCGCAACAACAATGTCAAGCTACGTTTTGCTGTGAACAATTTTCTTCTCGTGGCTAGTTGTCCTTGCGTTCATCCGACTTAGCTGACTCTAAGAGTATTGCAACGTCGAGCTTTTCATTGAAGAGGTCAAGAAAAGCAAAGTTCTTTTTGCTCTTCTCCAGTTTAACAATGTGATTTACCTTTATAGAAATGAAATGTAAATGCGGTGCTCATGGATCTAAGTGCGACGAAGACGGAAAGTGTACTTGTAATGAAGGATATGAAAAAAATGGAGAAGGAGTATGTACAGGTAAGTGATTACCTTTACTTGCCTCATCATAAAGGTCTTCGGGTTGAGATAAACGTATAAATTTCTGTGTGCTGCGTGGCTCTTTGGTTAAATTAGAGTGCATGCGAAGTGTCATGGCTTTGAAAAATCTCTTTATGATATTGGTTTGTTCGTTGTTTGGAACAATAGCCGCAGCAAGATTTGTTTAGTAAGGGTGCATTTTCCGTGCAACAAGAGAACGAGAACACCAGAAAGAAAACTTTGTATGCTCAGAAGTTTTTCAAGGAATTTCTATTAAGTTGCGACAGAAGATAAATTTTATTCTGTTTGTGCTAAACAGCCTTCAGCTGTTCAAAAGTTAGCTGTGTAAAGAGTCTGAAAATAGCAGTATCTGATGATTTAGGCTTAACAGGCGCTGTTATATGTAAACCTTAATCATAATTTGGGAATCGGGTATTTTGTTTGTATGAACACAGTATTTTAATTACACCCAGCTTTTCAATCTTTACCTTGAATATCTATTATACTTATAATGAAAAGAAAACTGCACGTTACCTCGAAGATATAAATTTTATGTTTTATGCTCCCTCGTGAGATATTGTTCTTGCTACTCGAACATAAAATTCATATCCATGCGCCACCGTGTAACATCCTCCATTCATCATTTTCTTTTCTGTTATCAAACAAGACATTAACGAGTGTGCCTCTGGGTCAAAGTGTATCGGAAGTGTGTAAATCAACCAGGGGGACACTTTTGCTTATGCAAAGCGGGATATGTGAAGGCTGATAAAAGATGCGTCAAAGAACCTCGTAAGAATTTGTTGGCATAATATGAGTGTTCTTGTGTATGATAGCGTCCTCGTGTGACTTGACCTGCTTCCTGATGAGGGATACCTCAATCCTAGGTTTCGCTCCTTTTCGTCAACTAAAATTTATGGTCATAGGTGATGCTTATTAGGTTTTTAAACTGTATTAGTCTACGACTCTTGCGATAAATAAAAAATTTGAAACGTCACAAGCACCGATAAGCAACGAAACACATGCATTCGCCTTCGTGGAACTGCTTAGAGCTGGTTAATCAAGTAAAAGTGGACATCAATAATGGTAGGGGATAAAATTCGTATTAAAGGGCAGGCATGCAATATCCTCTATCTATCTTGAACAGAATGCAAGTGCGCATCGCACGAAGAATGCTTCAACGGAAAGTGCAGGTGCAAGACAGGATACAAGAAAAATTCAAAAGGGATGTGTGCTCGAAAACGTAAGTACTGTGCACAAGTCCAAAAACGCGCGAACGGGTCAAGAAGAATATATCGAGAACTGAAAGTTCTAGACGTATCTTTTTAATTTGGATGCTTGGACTCTGAACTCCAATTATGCAGGGGCTCTTACTTTCCTGGTATGAATTTCCATCTGTTCGCCATTTGGAGGATAAATTATGTTGAGATCATTCGATTGAGCCAATGGTGTTCTTTGTTATCAGAATGTATTTCAAAGGGTGAGAAATATGCGTTAACCAGGAGCCCATGGGCTGATGACTTGACAATCTTTGATCAAATTATTCGTTTTCTATTTTTTAAGGCTCTGCTCGCCAAGTTGATTCAGGCCACTCTGTACACGTCACCAGTCACCTGGGCACCCTCGGCCTCGTCCTTACACTACTTGGGCGCCTGGCCGTTACAGCATGAGGAACCGCGCCTACTGCTTGCTTTGCTGCTGCATGCTCATTCTTTTAACTTTTCTCTTTTTGTCTTACAAAAAATCTGTATAAAATTATTGTATTTGTAAGAGATACTTCTATACGTGGTACAAATCTATACGGATGATTCAAGAAAGTTTGAAAAAATATATTTTTAATTCCTTACATTGATATCTATCCTTTCAAACATAATTTTTCACGTTCAAATAACTGTTTATCTGAACCTCATCAATTGTACTCTTTCACTCGTTGTTTCATTGAGTTTGTTTCGTGTCTCTTCAAAGACTTCTTACTATTTTTTAACACAACCATCAAGTCCTCTTGTTATCCTAAATAATGTGAAGTTACGTTAAATTTTTCCTGATATTTGATGTCAAACATTACCAGAATTGAACTTCTTACCTTGTCAATCAATAAATTTGCTTCGCTTTGCTCGCTTAAAAAAATGTCGTCTTTGATGATGTTTTGTCTGTGTGAATTGATCTCCAGGAAGACGTGAGGGAATATATATCGCACAATCTCAGCTGACTGAAAATCTCCCTCAGAGGATGAAATTGTTAGTCATAATGAAAAGCAACGAGGTCAATAGCTTACTTAAGCTTTTAAACAACGAATAAGGCTACATCCCTTTAAAAAAATCTCATTTTCGGAGTAGAGCGATTTATCCAGGTTTTCGATTGGGTTATACTAATTTAGGACTGGGGCTCAAAAGAAATAAGTATGTTCCAAAACAATTACACGTGAATAGCGTAAAACGCGCGCGCTGATTGGCTACTCAAACTCCGAATATCGTTTGTTAGTATATGCCACTCAGGTTGTTATTCATCTCTACTTAATAATTGCTAATAAGGAAATTTTCAACTACAAATAGTGCATTTCTAGTGTTCTTATTGGTTTATCGACTCATATCCTGAATCACCTTATAGAAATACATTGCACCAACTGTTGCGGAGCTGAAAAAAGGCTCCGCTAAATATCCAAACTTTTCGCACTCGTCACATACAAGACTGGTTACCGCCAAATCAGCGCTACGCGTCATTTTGGTTATTTACCATCTCATTTTCAACGCGCGCTCATGGAGTAATCAGTTAACTATTCACTTCCGAGTAACACACGTGGGATTTGCACCCAAAAATGTTATAATCGTTGCAGGAATGAATGAGTCCAAATCATCTTTTTGTGCTATATTATCTTACTGCTTTAATGTAACAAAAATAACTATTCACCTTAGTATCGGTGGTTAGCAGTGGATATCTGCTTCGTTGCTCGGTTAATATCCACCTGCAGCCACCTCCACTTCAAAAATAGGTAAATAGTTGAAAACATAATTATGAACTCGCGGGAACAGTAAGAAAACCAACAAGCTTTTTGGTTCTAAACTTCTTTTGTCTGGTGAACATTCCTGGGGTAGTTTGTTCCTGCTAGGGACTCCGATGTTTCCAGAGAATTAAAAGATTTGTTTTCGCGTTTGGCATACCAAGGTTAGCCGTCTTCAAGATTGTGATTCGACCAGTACGTCAAACTCAAAACGATCTTAATTATCTCAGCAACCCCTTTTTAAAGACTTATCTCTGACATGAGAGTTGACCCAGGTTTTTTCCTCCCGCTTCACATGAAAAGACAGGAATTTCTCTGAGGTTTTGGTATCAATGGTCTGCAATACGCCAACCTCATCGACTATGCGACCTTTCGAAAGTCGTCTTAAACAGACCTGGAATTACTCTTGTCCTGGATTTTTTATATCTCAATGCGATTATTCAAGATGTAGAGAGAAATATCACATTCAGAGCAATTTAAAGGTCTTCGGAACTTGATAGCTTTGCAATGTTTGTGTTTGAGTCGACTGAGTAGATGTGCATAACCCAGTTCAAAGGAAGTAAGTACGCTAGCGCTTTAAGTTTTAAAAATCTCAAAAATATCTTCTCAACTTCAATCTCCTCAGAACAGTTAACTTGGATGCAGTTTTCCTCCCTCACGTCGAGTCATATCTTACCTGAGTCATTGAGACGTACATCATCAGGAAACTACTAAACGACTCAAGTAACCAGTTTCTTTCATCGCGCTTCACTTAAATGCTGACATAGACCTCTGGAAATTGACTGACCGACTGACCTTCCCTCTAGAATTCTATCTTTGTCAAAACAGATTCTTTCTTTGGTGATGATCACAATTATCTGTGTCAAAGCTGCAAATTGTAAGTTTTCTTGACTTCTTTTTGAAATACCTTTTCTTTGGAAGTGCTTTGAGTATTTTGAGAGTTTTTTAATTCCTCACTAGTTCTGAGCATCGTTGTTGAGCAATGTTATGTTAGAAGTCGGGGGCTCGGAAAACGACGCTTTTCAGCTTGCATGATGATCCAAGAAAGTTTGAAAAAATTATATTTTTAATTCCTTACACTGATATCTACCCTTTTCAAACAATTTTTTCGCATTAAAATAACTTTTCATCTGAACTTCATCAATTTACTTTTTCACTAGTTGTTTCATCGAGTTTGTTTCGTGATTCTTCAAAGATTGGCCTGCCTTAAACTTGTCACTCAGTTCAACTTATCCTTACAAAGTACATATCCCAAACGGGTGATTAACATGCAATAGAGATATTTCGCTGAGCCAAGTTATGTTCTTTAGATAGTATAGTTATAATCAAAATAACTACTTCTATGGTATGGTACATTGCTCACCTACAATAACTGCTACATCTGTCATGTCTAACCTACTAACTAAATGAACAAGAGCAATAGGTCTAACAAACACCAGGTCTATCCTCAAAAATGTGTCCAGAATAAGGAAAGTATCAAGGCAGGTTTGTAAATCACCATCCACAGCCACTGTGTATTCTGGCAGGCCTAAAGCAATAAACAACCAGCAGCCTTCCATCCGCTTCACCATGGAGACAGAGAGAGACAACAAACTCGCCTTCCTAGACACCGCAGTTTTAAGAGAACCTGATGGTCGCCTCACCACCAGCGTATACAGGAAGCCCACGCACACCGATCAATACTTAGCGTATGATTCACATCACCCTCAATCAGTAAAACGGGGTATTGTTAAGTGCCTTTACGAGCGCGCCAAACGTCTCGTAACAAAACCTTCCGTCATTACCGAGGAAAAAAAACATCTGTCATCCGTTCTGGTTTCTAATGGTTATCCTTTTTCTTTCTTGCAGAAACTTACCAAGACCGGAAAACCAAACAACAGTGCCGAACTCGCCAACGAGTTCAAAGCTACTGCGGTTTTACCTTATGTCAAAGGTCTGTCCGAACAGCGTTGCCGCTGCCTACAACAACAAGGCGTACGCGCTGTTTTCAAGTCGGAGACTACGCTAAGATCTCAGTTAGTACGACCAAAAGACGCTGTCGCCCCGGCTAAACAAGATGGTGTAGTTTACAGGATTCCCTGTGAATGCGGCAAGGTGTACATCGGCAAGACTGGAAGACCTATGCAAGACAGAATTAAGGAGCACGATCGAGACATTCGACTCGCCCGTACCGAGACCTCCACCGTTTCAGAGCATGCCCACAACACCGAACACAAGCCACCCTAAAACGAAGTAAAGTTTATTGATCGTGACCCTTATTACTACACGCGCAAGGTCAAAGAGGCAATTCATATAAGACTTCACCCTAACAACATCAACAGGGATAGTGGAATAGAAATTCCAGAAGCGTAGATGCCCACGATCAAAAAGCACAACAACAGGAGAGCCGTGTTACAGCGGACCGCCGAGGGAGCACATCACTGAGTGAACAGAAAGGATCGAAATGCACCAATCAGAGCTGTTGAAAAAACAACTAATCACAGCAGGGCATCATGCTTTAAAAGATCACACATGACCAGTCGACCTCATCGCCTGAAGAAGACTAGCAGTATGCAGTCGAAACGTCGCGATCTACATTACACGTGACTACATCGTGAGACAAACGAAAAACTTAGCTTTTATTTTTATTTTAAGGTGGTTTAATTTTAAAGAAAAGAAAATCAATTGTTTCTAACTTTGTTCTCAGAGAAAAAAATTAAATTACATAAATAACGAGATATGTAAAGCTCTCCGCTTTTGGCCAATAGAAGAGGTATATTGAGCACTACAACACTAAACGTCACTTGATACCCTGTCTCACCGAACCCCAGTCACTTACATAACATAAGAGGCAAATCACCATGGATGTTTATTGTACATACCATTAGAATCATCATATACATAAGCTTCACAAAGTCTCAAATTATTGGTTTCCCAGAGTCTAATGTAGAGATATCTAGCAGTGATAGTTCTACCGTAGTGTACATGCCAGCCTTTGTGATCAGAAATATTTGCCTCTGTGAAATTTCTACAAAGGTAATTAAGGAAATCCTGACCACACACATTAAAGTTATCTTCCAGGTAAGGACCCTGAATAAAATTTAAAAAGTTCTTCTGTAGGATAATAGAAAGAACAAAGTGAAAGTGTAAACAAACAATTGATCCAACAAAACTCACCAGCATAGATAAGAAAATGATTAGCCTGTGAATCACAGCAACGACTCCTAAGCTGAATGAAGACATGAGCAACATAAACTACCTCCTCTAAGTCTAGTCGCCACCAAGCATTAGCTTGGCTGGTGGTAGAACTACAGCTTTAGCCACTCGAAAACAGTGGGTTAGGGTTACCATCCACTGCTCTTGACAAACTGCATCACCTAACGTGCTAAACTGAGTAGTTAGTTAACCCTCAGATAATTTGATGCCACCCGCAGCAAATTTTCACAATCATGGTATCAGAACAAATTACATAACAACTGCCTCATTAAACTGCCTCAATAACACTGCAGAAAGACAAAGGTTATCACTATGCAAATTTAAAGAGCTGGCTAACCCTTGCAAACATCTAAAATGTCATCATTTAAGACTGCCATGAAAGTCCCTCTAGAAGATAAAAAGCCTTTTCTGCATTTGCAAATATAGTAAAATGTAGGAAACTTGTCATTCTCTTGTGCATTCTGAATTTGGAGGACAGACAGTCTGCAGTTTGC